GGTTTTCCTCCATCAATGTGGCGTTTTCTTTTCCCAAATTTATGAGGAAATCCACGCCCTCCATGGCCATGATGGCTACGTCCCCTGTTAGAAGACTGATATGAGTTCTTGGGATTATCCTTCCCAACTTTTTTACACACACTATGCTCCGCATCTAGCTCTTTGATTTTTTCTTTAATATCGTCCCCAAACAGCATGTCAGTGACTGGTGTGGTATCATCACACAGACCTTTATACTGGGGTTGAATGTCCCCCTTAATGAAACTCCTTCGTCTGAAGGTTATTTCGCTATAACAAGCTTGAAATAGCTGGTACGTATCTCTGCACGTAACTGCATATGCTTGCAGTTCCTCTCTAGACATTCCTTCTTTCTTTGAAGATTTATCCACAAACATATCCATCATATACATCAATGGGCAAGCTGTTTTAGACAAGAGATTCTGTAAACGTTGTAATTTTACATCCACATCTTTATTCCGTGGTGTCATTTGTTTCCAAATACCTACAAGTATAATATAAATTTAGTATATATACACTAAAAAGTTTATAGTGTGTATATTATTATTACATGCAAAGGATTTTTACGCAATATTTATACATTTACACATTTCGCATAATCATGATAATTATTGCGAGTTTTTAATCATATTTATAATACTATATTATTTATTACCATGTAAATTATGGTTTGTATTATAAAAAATTGATTTGCAGATACACTTGATTTTTCACAAGATAAAATTTTTATCAAAATGCAATTTAATTGCATAAATCCTCACCTATGTTGACTCGTGGGACTTTTAGACTGCTCACATTAGCAGGCTTATCATATTTCTTTGTGAGATTTTTGTATTTTTCTTCATTGACTCGTGTCCTCAGTCCCTGGTTCATGTATGAGGCTAAACCAGAATTAATTTTTGGACCTGTCTTTTCATCTGAACTAATGAAGTCTTCCAATTTTTTATGGAAATATTCTTTATAAAGCACAAAAATGTCAGTATTCACCTCTGAAACTAACAAAACCTTTAAATAGACTTATTAAGAAGGGATATAGTTACGATACTGTTGTCAGGTCATTAAAGATTGCATATTTTGGCGTTGATATTGATTCACTTATAGGGTCTTTGCATCTGCACTAAACACATTTATTTAAAAACCAGTTGTTGGCATGACACGGGTTATGTTCTTCTCATATATGTTATGATGGTATGATACTAAACCCCTAACGGGAAGGATTGTGCCTGATATTCATATGATGAAGACATAATCTTTCAATCAGTTTAATTGAAGTCTGGAGCTGGCATGTCAGTTAACTGCTAGTAGTCTGTTGTTATTTATGTATTATTGTCATTTTGTTTATTTTCTTTGGTTACATCTTCTGACATCAGACTCGGACTTCTCTTGAACTGAATTTTAATGTGCGTATTGTTATGCGTTTACTTTTCTACATTGGCTAGAGGTATAGGGGGAGGGTTGAGATCTCATAAACATGTTTAACCCCGCCGCATTTTTGCGCCTGTCCCAAGTCAGGAGCCTCTAGCCTTTGTTAGTCTTGTATTATTTTTAATTTTAGTTTCTTGTGTACAATTTGGAGTTTAGTATGGCGTTCATTATCACTGAACTAGTATATATATTTGTTTAGGGGCCAGCTGAAGGACGCCTCCGGGTGCGGGAATTTCTCGCTGCATTGAAGACCTGTTGGTGGCCTTCTGCTGTTGTCTGTTCTGTGGTCGGGTTGTTGTCTCTTTGACACATTCCCCATTTCCATTCTCAATTTTATTTCATGGATTCCAAGACATTTTCATTTTCTGCCTTTTCAATATCATTATCTACTTCATTCTCAAAACATGCTTCATCATCGCTATCGTAACTTTCGTCACTAGAAATATCTGAATATAATTCAGACTGTGCAGATATGTTTTTAGTTTGGTTATTGTTCATATCATTATCAAACAAACTGTCCAGTTGCGATTGGTAATCATCCTTTGTGGGTTTATTTTTCACGACCTTTCTTGGTCCGGCCATTGTTGCCGATTGTCTAGGATTCACCTTTGTGGAACTTTGTGTAGTATCAGTTCTTGAATTCTGATTTTTCATCAAAGTTTGGATATGCAATTGATTTTGCAGTAGCATATTGTAGATATCCGGTGTGACTACTTCCGGAGTGTGAGTGACAGGAGCATTGCTCATGGCTCCTCCTCCTACATTAATGTTTTCAATGCTTGCTTGAAACCCACTAATATTGTTATCATAACCTGGCGAAATAAGTTGCCTGTGGTCATTCATAATGCTAAAAATATTGTCACTTTTTGAACTAGTCTTGGCCGTGCCAGAAAGTTCCGATACCGAGTCAATGCTCGAATGTTCAGCCATGTCATTAACAAATGTATGCTGACAACGTGACAAATTATCCATCACAAGCTACATCGTTAAAATATTAATCCATCCAAAAACTATATCAAATCGTAAAGTTTGTATTCCAAATGTCACAAATATATTAATTTCCAGTTAAAAACAATTAAGATATCCATTATTTTCAAATAAACATAAGAGGGATAAATTCCATGACTTGACCTCATAAGACCAAATACGCTAGTGACCTCTACGATCTGCGTGCGCATCTCATGGTACTCTCAGCATATAGGTTCAATAAAATTTCAAATGCAGATACATTGATGGTGTTCTCTCCATTAAAAATCAAAACTTTGATTGGACTCATTAATATATCCCTAATATTACTTTAACTATTTAGTTCTTTTTTGGTGATATCCATGACCATTTGACGTGTCTCTGAACTTGTACATCCCGTCATTGTGTTATTGTGTTATGGTAAATTTTTGTATTTTTATCTTTCATTTTTGCTAATGTGCTTTGTCTTTATGCCTTTTTGTGTTGTTTTTTTGTTACATATGACATGGCTCTGTTCTTATACATCCCGTCATTTTGTTATTTTGCTATGGTTAATAATGGAATACTCGTCTTTCAGTTCTGCTAATGTGCTTTGTGTATATGCCTGTGTGTGTTTCCTTGTTCCATATAAGGTGGCTCTGTTCTTATACATCCTGTCATTGTGTTATTATGCTATGGTAAATTTTTATATTCATGTTTTCATTTTTTTATGTGCTTTGTCTAAATGTCTTTTTGTGTTTCTTTGTTACATATTTATTTGTTTATATAGCGATTAAGATTATAACACAATGTTGACTGCTGTACTCCAATTGTGGACATTTTTACCTATTATGTCTGTGTGTTTTGTTCACACATCGTTGTCAATATAATGGAATTGTATGCGACTGTCATACAATTGAGAGGTTTAGCTAGTTAACAAAAACAGGTTTAATCCATTTTTTTCTACATAAGAAAATGGCTGTACCAAGACAGGAATACGACAGTTGTTGTCCATTCGTTTGATGTGTTTGAGCTTTTGATTTTGCCATTCGAACTTGGACTTTCTTTTTTGAATTTTTCTCGGAATTTGGTATTTTTGTTATTTACTTTTTACCTAAGATTATCTTTGATCACCATGACAGATAATTAGGATATATTGCTATAGTTTAGAAAAAAATATTTTTATAATGTTTGAAAAATATTTAAACGATATAAAACACTTATGAGCTTGGTTGTGAAAAAGTGAAGATTAAGACTTAGTGATCAACTCAAATCTACGCAATAGGCGTCATTAATCTTTTTTGTACTTTAGCTTGCAAAAAAATAATTGAAATAGAAAAAGATGAATTGAAATCTTAATTTTCTAAAACAAACACACTTGTATCAACAGTTTTTTCAAATTTAAATCACGCTAGAATCAATTGATATTACTACTTCGGCTAAAAACTGAGGAAAACAATTTGCATCTGTACAAAGAAATAAGTAGATAACGATAACATATAAATTTATTATAATGATTAAAAGAAATAACATACAGATACAACGATTAAAGACCCATTCATTTATTCATCGGCCGGCATTAACTAAGCTTAGCAAGAGTTGTAGCCCTTAGTCTGTAAAATTTCCGATATGTTTAACCTCCGGTATTCTTTGAGTCAAACTACGGGTATCTCGAAAAATTTCTCTGGTCTGACTTACTTCGAGATAACGAGAGTCGACGATTCACTTCAAAATGAACACGTGTACTTAAACTATCCCAAACAAAAAATAATACATGATACGGGACAGACGGAACCACAAACGAAATTACACACTGGGAAACATAATGCTCCTCTTCTATTGTAGGCGGGTGATAAAATTATTTCTAAAAGTATTAACTCTATATTATTGTTATTGCAAACAGCAAAACTAATACAATTCAAAAAAGGTCACAATAAAAAAAAAATCAATTTGAAGCGATAACAAAATTTACATATTTTTAGACTCTTAAAAGGTTTTTAGCACGTGTGTTTTTTTTTCAAATTTTGAGTAGCTTATTTGTTGCTGTAACAATTTAGACTCCTTCTTCTAATTGAAGTATACATACTCCAGTTGCTGGATTTTTTCGGAATTGCCAAAGGTTGCCTTGGATGGTTTTCGCCTCTTTCGGGTTGTTGTCACTAATATTTAAAAAAGGAAACATTAAATTTAATTATCTATTACTATTTTGGATAACATGAATCCCCCATCAGTATAATTAGGATGATGTAAAATGAATCTTATCAATCTAAATTAATGTAACTGAAACAACTTCTACAGTTGTACAATTGAAAACCGAACAAAAAGATAATTAAGTTCACTTCTTGTAAGAGAAAAAGAGATGTTGGATAGCAAGTTACCAAGGAAAATAAAAAAAATATCATCCTGACTATCAGAAGACGTAATTGAGGATATATCTTTAACAAATATTTGAGTCGAAGAACGGAAGAAAGTATACAAATAAACATGTGCAGCGTGAACAAGAAATGTGTCAGTATCATGAAGGTAGTTTTAGTCAGAGCAATATCACTGAAATAGTCAACTACCTTAGTTTTTGAGTGTTCGTCTTCTAAATTCGTTTATGTCAATTTTAGGCAGTAAACTTATATATGAACCGTACTTCAACAAAGCACTCTGCAGCATCAATCGTTATCAACCTTTCCCCTTCTCAACTGATGGAAACAGTAAATGTGTGTTTCAAAAGTCATTTTGTAATGAAAAGGGACAATACGCTTTTCAAACTGGAACTTTGAAAAGTGACACAACATGTGGATGCGACTTGTCAAGAGGATACGAATTTGCTACCAAACCAAGAAACAACTGCTACTGCATACCGTCGGAAGAAGACTGTTCCTGTCACAAACTTCCTTGCAATGAAAAAGGTATGTAAAACAAAAAACAATCACACATCTGCATACCTCTGTAGTATTATAGATTGATGAAGATACAGCAAACGAGTAATAAAATATAAACCGCAGTTAAGCTTTATATTGATTCAACAATACACCATTTGTTATATATCTTCAAGACTGTAAAAAGAAATTATTAAGACGACACATGTTTTGCAAATAACCTTGATTTACTTTATTAGGTTTTTCCTTTTTTCTGTGGAAAGACCTATTGTATTTGTTGCGATAAATATTATTTTCTTTTTCCGCCATCTTTGTTCTTGCGTGTAATTTTGTGTTTGCAAGATGTCGCTTAGATGTTTGGTATATGATATCGCATAGTTTATGCGCCTTTGAAATTGACAATGTTTAGCCGAATATTTTTCTTTGCAAAAGTTATCTCCATAATCGTAAAGAAACCGATCAATTTTTTTTTTAAATAACCGAATTCCTCGATTTATCATCAGGACGTTTGGCAATTTTGACCGAAGCGATACAAAGAATCCATATGAGAGTTATTTCGCCTCCTGTATTTTCAATAAGTGATATGTTGATGTATAGCATGAATAGTTAGTGATAGTTACCAGTATATATTGAATTGTGGTCCTTGGTGCTCAAAAATGAATTTGAGGTCAAGGTCATGTTCTAAATATGTTTTTTTTTTTTTATCTCCACTGAAAGCTATATATAGAATTACAAATGCAAAATATTACTTTTATTGTGAAAAAGGTATAAGTTTGTTCTGTAACAATCCAATGAGATCCTATATGAGCGTTTGCCCCTGAAAAGTTTAAATTTGATATTGATTGAGTATTTCTTCAACATGATACATGATAAATCCATACGGTCTTTTGCAAAGTGTTGGTTAATATATTGCATTGAAAAATTCCAACCGAAAGTGACCCTTTATTAGCAAGAAGTAGCCATTTATGCACTTATTTCATGGAAATATACATACAAATCATCTATTTGTTTTAAATAGACATACATAAACCTATCATTTGAGACCAAAAGTGACCTTCGATAACCCGGGAGTAACTTCTTATCTCACTTATTACAGGCTAAAGTATATAGAAACCATGTTTTTTTGGAATCAGAGTAAAACAGATACCTTTTAAAACCGGGAGTGGCATTTTATAAACCAGAAGTTATCAATTATCTTCCTTATTTTAAGCAAAAATATACTAAAACCATGAATATTTGAAATCAGTATGAAAGGAGCTATCATATGAGACTTGAAGTGACGTAAATTAAAGAAAAACGGGAGTAACTTCTGATGAATTATTTATAAAATTAATGTAGAAAGACCTTCAATTGTTTGTGAACAATTGGTTTTTAATTATTTTTCTTTCATCTTCTGTCAAACCATTTTCTTGCGTTAAATAGTGGTATCAAAGGATGTCTCTCGGATTTTTTCCACATCATATCGAACAGTTATTGCGCTTTTGTAACTCATCCTATTCACCCGAACAATTTGTTTGTACAGGTCATCTCCCCAAACACCGTGTTTTGTGTACGAATTTGCTTTGCAACTGTAACACAAATCAATAAGTTTATTTCTCCAAATTGCTTGCTGTACTCAGGATACATCGGCCAATTTTAACCGAAGCGATACAGACTCCATATGAGAGTAAGTTTCACTTTTGTATTTGTCATAAGGGATATGTAAATGTTACTCATGAACAGCAAGTAATAGAGACCTAAGGTATCTTGGTTTGAGGTCCGTGGTCCACCAATATTTGATATATTGTATCGTACAGTTTATGCTCTTTTATATTTTACCCTATTTAGCCGAACTATTTTCTGTGTAAGAAATATCTGCTCGCACAGTATTTATAATGTGTGTGCCTTAACCAAAAAATATATCGACTAAATCGAATTTGTTTGTTACATCTGTAGAAATATCAACCTAAACAATTAGGTCAAGGTCAAAGGTCAGGTTCTCAATGTTGACTTTTCCTTGTTTTTGCATTTTCTCTGACACTTTGAAAGATTTATATATATATATAAGAACTAGTGCAAAATGCTTGAACAATTGTGATGAAGATATGCTACATTTGGTTTGAAATAATCTAATGACATCTGACAGGAGTTAATTGATTATTTTTTCAACTTTGTTCACAATAACTCCATAGGGCCTTTTGTAAAATGCTGCGCGACACTTGACCTTTAAAATGTCAACCATACGTCACCTTGAGGAAACTGGAAGTAGCGGTTTTCGCACTTTTGTCATGGAAAAGTACTTAAAACCCATATATATATATTTTTCTAATAGACATATGTCTTACAGGTAAATGTATATGGAAACCACATATGTTTGGAATGAGTGTAAAACAGCTATCATATGAGACCGGCAGTGACAATATAAACCGGACGTAGGCAATTATCTCCTCCTTTTTTAAAAGGGGAGGTAATTGCCTACTTCCGGTTTATGTTGTCACTGCCGGTCTCATATGATAGCTTTTTCACACTGATTCCAAACATTTATGGTTACTAAAAGCAAAAGTATTTTTGGTATCAGTGAACGAAGCAAATATATGAGACCAGAAGTGACATTTACTTAACTGGAAGTAGATCATTGTCTCCCTTATTTTACCCAAAAGTAAATAAACACCAATTATCTGTCGAATTTGTATGAAAAACATATGATTGGACGCAAATAGTAACTTTCAGCAAACGGGAAGTATCTTCCTATTCATTGTTAAGAAAATTGATGTGGAAAGACCTTCAGTTGTTCTGAAAAATTGGGTTTTAATACGTGAGTGATTTTTTTCTTTTTCGACTTACTCTTCATGCTCTTATTTATTTTTTTGAAATTTGCTGTTGATGAAAGGTAAAGGTAATTGAAACACTTCGGTTATCCCTATACACGAACTGGGTATCCACTATTTGTTGTAATTTTCGTAATTTGTTGTTGTAATGGTGTCAAACTTTGTATTTGTTTTGATCTCGACCTGTTTTCATTTCGGAAGTATCCGTTTTCGCATATTTGTCATGGAAAAGTACTTAGAATCCATTTACATTTATTTAATAGACATTCGTCGTACAGGTAAAATGTAAGGCTGTCAAACTTCGTATTTGGTTTTGATTTTCGACCCGTTTGCATTCTTCCGCAAATTTGGCGTTTTAACATTGTTGTGCCGATATTTAGAGTAATTCCGTCTAAATTTCACCTAGTTGGTAACTGAGAGGTTTTGTCGATGTGTTTGATATCAGTCATACATAACAGACTTCACAGACCGTTGGGTTTGATTCCCAGTACAGAAAAATACAAATAACAAAATTTAAACCCAGGATAGTGTTTAAATTACAATAAGAGACGCGAAAGATACCGAGGGGTAAATCAATTATCTTGTTTGGAAAGGATAAAGCCTACTTTGTAGAAAAATCCTTCTGATTGAAACTAAAAATTCTCTGATACTGACATTTTTCTGATTCTTGATTTATTGACAACATATGTGTTATGTTGGAAGGAAGTGTTTTTCAATAAACAATGGGATTACCTCAGCTGTATTTTGCAAAACCGTTTTGGAATATTGAGTCCGCAACATACTGAATGCTCTTCAATTTCGTACTTTATTTGGTCTTTTGACTTATTTTTATTTGCGCGATGTCACTGTTCAGTCTTTTGTAGTTATAGACAAGTGCAATCCTGGAACATATATCTATGAGGAGTTTATTCACTAAATAAGTTAAAGTGTGATGACTTCATTGAACGTATATATCCTATCAAACTTGAAATACAGGATACTACAGATACTGTTAGATGTGCTTATGTCTTGACTCACATAAGACAGAGGAAGTAAACAAGGTTTGAAAAAAAAAAGATAATTGTTGCACTTTTCTTTTATCAAGAAAAATGTAATACAGGAAATCACTTTTTTGCATTTCTTGGGTTGCTAAAAAACAAACAATATTCCTTCTAACAGTAAATCGTCAAGAGACAGTATGACGACAGGCTAAGGGTAAAATAAGTGTACGTTTCTATGTTTCCTTGAAGTATTCACTCCTTTATCTGCATCCATGGTAGACCTAACATTTATGATATACTTGTACGATACTCTTATTTGTTTTGATATTTATTAGAGGGGTCATGAAAGAAAAGTATACCAATAATTGCAAAGGTGTCTGCAATGATTAAACACAACATGACTATTATATTATTTTTTCAATAATAAATTGAAAAAATTATATAGAAAATGTTAGATGCACATCTTCGTGCTGACACACATGCAAAAAGAGTGAAGAAGATTCAAACAGATTGTTATCCGAATCATTAGTTTTTGTTTAAAGCACCAGTTAAAGTCTTACCACATGACAAGTTCAAAGCTATTTCCGAGTAGTAAGTATTAAACTAACAACATATATATGTAGTAAAGAGGAAGAAGTCAGACAAAATAATTATTTAGTTACGTGTTATCAAAAAATGAAGACCTCAGACAAATGTCCTAAAGCCATCATTGTTTTCCTTTTTCATTTTACAAACAAGCCCGAATACACAAATATTTCGTAGTGCATTTCTTTCAGACAATAAACTCAAATTAAAAAAAAACCACCTATAGGACAAATAATAATATCAAAATTATAGAAAATTCTCCCAGCTCTAACTCCAAATATGGTTAATTATGTGGTAGGGAGGTCTAAATTTTAGTTTTAACAGGTTCTGACATACTAATTTTTTACCTTGTGTAACTGGAACAAATCACTACTATATCATCGTACCAAAACGGATAAATATAAATGACCAATTCTAAAAAAAAAAAAAAACTTTGAATGACCTAAGCATAGGAAAGTTGGCCAGGGCCATAGGATATATATTATTGAATTGATAGCAGTTTTAATTTTCAAATTTGAATGTTTAATTTTGAGGTTTAAATGTCAAGATCACGGTGGATAAGGTTGTCCTGCGAGAGAACGTTTTGTGCTGGTGATTTGGTCCTGACTGGTGCTGGTGATCATTGCAAATATGTAAACAAAACGAAAATGCTGATTTT